ACACACACACACACACACACACACACACACACACACACACACACAAACAATTAACGAGATGAAGAAAACGTAACATAAATATGCTAAATATATAAAAGTTGACTAAATGTTCTGTTAATGTGAAGCTAAGCGCATAAATAGCAACACATACATTTGAATCAGAGAGATCATATTTCGGTCTCTTGTATAATAATATCATAAAGTCTCGGCCTGCTCACATGTGCCATCATGTGATGCTGCAACAGCATTGCATCCTGATGACCTGACTGTGTTTAACACTACAGCCTGTGGGCCAGTGAGGTGATGCCGTTGTAAGTTGAGTGATCTTTAAGTCGGACTTAACTTGCTGGACTTTTTCATTATTAATCTGTATGGAAATTAAATGATTTAAGCTTCTCTCGGTTTCTTATTTCACATCCTTAACGACTTGTGATCTCTTGTGAGGATCACTTGTCTACCCCTGATGCTTGTTTTATAGCTCTGTGTGAAATGTATGGAGGGAAGAGGCTCTAAGAGTAGTTTCACCACCACCTGAACCTACAGCATGACCTCCTCTAAAAAACCCCTCAGACCCTGGTTATACTGACATTCAAGGATTATTCTGGATCTTACTCTTTTAATTAAAAATGGAAGAAAGTGACCTTTGTTGCTCTTCGGATTTCCACAGAAGTATGTATAATTTAAACATCCACAGGCTCACAAACAACGGATAACACCGGTCTGATCCACATGCACTAGTGTTGCTTTCAAACAAAAAACCAAGCCCTCAAACATCAGCTTTCCGTGTAGCTTTTATGCCATCCTGTAATTACATCACGTTTGTTTCCTTTTTTCTGTGCTCTCTGTATGTGGCAGCGTATCAAAGACGGCAGCGTTGCAGACAATGTGAAGGTGATCTGTGTTGGCGATCATATAGAGTGCATTAATGGGCAAAATATCGTCGGGACGCGGCACTACGAGGTCGCACGCATGCTTAAAGACCTGCCCAAAGACAAGCCGTTCACCCTGAAACTGGTCGAGCCCATGAAGGCTTTCGGTAAGTAAGAAGCAGCATCGACTCAGAAGCTTCAGCACATTAAACAACTGATACACATAGTAAAGAGACTGCGGGCCAACTTTGAGGAGTATACAAGTACACTTTCTCTCTTGGACAAGTTGTCATATGTGTTTGAGTTTAGGTTGTTTCAGTGTCATGTCACAATCCTGTCAAAACAAGGTGCGGCCTATGAAAGATCTCCTTTTACCTACGTTTTGACACCAGGCTCATGTCGCTGATAACTTCATAATGCAGTCACGTTTAAACACTGCAGCGTGGGCTCTGCATTCCTTTCAGGGAAATAAACAGTTTACAAAATCAAACCTGTTTTACCAGGTTTACAAGTTCAGAACAACACACACGCACACCGTGTCTTTTACTTAATATTGTCTTCTCTATTCACAGATATGCTTGAACCCCGGTCAAAGGGCGCCAAACCTGCCGGTGAAAATAAGATCGGCACAGGGAGGGGGACTCTGAGACTCCGCTCCAAAGGTCCGGCTACCGTAGAGGATGAGGTGCGTTTCTCTCGAGGAAATAAGTGTTTATTTTGAATTAATGTCCAAATCTGCCTGAAACAAAGGCACTGTTGTCAGGTTGTGTCCTTGTACAAGGGCTGGGTAAAGTAGTGAACGTAATACGGAGCTCGGGGATTAACGCTTTGAGTCGTGTGTTTGTGCTAGCCGACAGAATTTGAGGAGAAGGCCGTGAAGAAAGTCGATGACCTTCTGGAGAGCTACATGGGCATCAGAGACACTGAACTTGGTAAGGATTGTCTAATTTAAAGTTTTATTTTTCCCCCTACTACTACTACTCTGCTGGCCTGTCAAGAATAAAGGGTCATAAAAAAATAAAGCCCCAAAATAAATGTTAAGCCGGGTATCATACTGCACCCACTGTTCGCCCTGGGTCTTTATCAGTTCATCAGTCTAAGGTCCTCATATTCTGCAAGATTATAGCAGGAAGCTGTGACATTCCATCATACCTGTAGTTCCTTTGGGATTACAGGCCTCAATCTGATCAGCTGATGAAGGTTTTGTATTTCCAAGAGTGTAGTGCATAGGACAATTTAAAGAAGACATACCAAAAAAACATCCGTTTCACTTAAAAACATCAGCAAGAAAATTAGACTTGTTCTAAAGTATTAATATTTAAAACAAACAAACAAAAAGTTAAAAGTTAATATCCAGCTGTGGCTGAAGTACTCAGGTTTCACTGTGTGTCCACTCTGACAGTTACTACATGATACCCACACAAACCCCAGAGACAAAAAACAAACAAACAACAAAACAAAGAAATTCATTGTGCTTGTTCGCCAGCTGAGGCTGAAGAAGCAGGAATATGGGATTTAAACCGAGGCGACATTTTATTAGCAGATAGTAGAATGCATAGGGAATGCTGAGCCACCAAATCACACAGTAAGATGCTGTCCCAGATTCAGAACGTGCTGGAAAATCTTCTCACTCTCTTATTTATAAACTCCTGGACTCTTATTTACAACACTTTCTGGTACCAGATTTTTAAGAACATGCTAAGAAATATATTTCCCCTGAATGATGAGCTGGTGTTGATGTTTCTAAACAAGAAAATTGATAAACGGAGATTTGGGGTTCAACCAGTTCTCTGTTGCAGTTTTATAACTCCTGCTTTCGTACAAATTTCAAGATGTCAGTCAGGCAGTTTGAACTCTTGATGGCAGAGTTGGGAACACATCTAGGGAAGCCGAATAATAATTACAGAGCATCAGCATAAATATTTGCACAGATTTTACATGTTCGGTGTGTAAAGGCCTTAAATGCAATAGATGGATTTCATTTAAAAAAGGAAATAAAATATTTCCAGTTTGCGTAATGCCTGAATTAATCTTCTTAAGAGCTCTCGTAGAGGATTCTCAGTCTCGACGCTCATTTATCTCCTCCTCTCTCTCCAGCTGCTACGATGGTCGAGGTCGGACGCGACAAGAAAAACCCGGATGAATTCGCCATGGCGTTAGACGAGACCCTCGGAGACTTCGCCTTTCCCGACGAGTTCGTCTTTGATGTCTGGGGCGCCATAGGAGACGCCAGGGATGGAAGACTTTAAATTTGCAGCTGCCTCCTCCCTCGTCGCATATTCCACAAACACACACCCCAAAATCTTCATAATCTCCGAAGTCAACTGGACAAACTTTAAATAGCACCACCCAGGAGGGGGGGTGGATGCAGTGTCCCGCCCTGTCTTCGTTCTTAGGTGTAGCTTTGCTCTCTGCCAAGGCGTCTTTAAAAGTCAGGTTTAGCGCATCAGCACTTCTTTTGTGTAATTGTGAAACAATTACACAAAAGAAGTGGACCCACCTCCGGCCTGCTGACATTCCAGATGTTGTGTAAACCTCAGCGACAGAACAGCTGCAGTTTGAAGCTCACGATGCATTTAAGTGTCGTCCTGCAGGGGTCTGTTAAATGGTACATGCACAACCTTAAATTTTAGAGTTTGATCATGTTTTATAGTAGCTGTGTGATTTTTTGAATGTTCAGATGTATTGCACAGCTTTTTATAGGCTTATTTTTATATGTGGAGGTGCTGCTGATTTTTACAGCAGCAGCATTGTGTAATTATCAGTCATAGTGATTGTAGCAATACTCCTCTCTCTCTCCAGAAACCCGTTAAATCGTTTAAATGATAGAAGTTGCCCTTACGACACATCTCGAGCAATACAGAGAGGACTTTTTACTTGGAACGCATTTTGATGACGACACACATTCCTCATATTCCTTTTTCTCGTCTGCTGTTAGGTCTGTTCAGCGTTTCTTTCCCCCTGTAATTTATTTTATAATAGAAAAATCAGATGCTGTAAGACTTTCAAAGATGTGGCTCGACATGAAGGCCACGTCCAGATCAACTTCAGTCTGCAGTCTTAAATAAATGCACTTGTATTAATGTAACTGCACCGGCTGTCAAAGTGAATTTAAATACAGACTGATTACCGTCATATTCTGATGTTAACTATAAGGGATCACTTTTGTTGCATAGACAATAAAATTTTTACTGTTAATGTGACTGCTGTGTCATGAATGCATCTGGCTCCAGACTCAGTTGTGCATCTTCCTCTGAATATTTGCAGTTCATTGTAGCTGGTAATGTTTGAAAAGGCTTATTTGTATTTTGTAGTTTTTTAGTTTAGTTTCAGTTTTAGTCTTATTAGTTTAAATTTACAGGGTGTTTCTCAGGGGTAGGATTTGGGTAAAATCTGAATATTATGCTTCGTCACACAGGTAGTGTGGACAAATGTTATCAAGCTGAAAAAGGCTAAAACTTTAAGGACATTTCTCTTTTTTTTTATATTTTAGTTTTCCACATTCAAAAACTTGTGTGGGTTAGTTTTAAGATTATTTAGTCACACCTAGTTCAGTTTATCCTTTTTTTTTAAACCAGGAGGCCAAAGCCTATCAAAGAGGAGTACAGCCTACCAAGTCGCTAGGCTATTCCTGCTCCCATTCACCTACAACCAATTTATAATCAATTAATCTAACTTGCATGCATTTGGATTGTGGTAGGAAACCACAGGGAGAGCATGCAAACTCCACCCAAGGGTGCTCCAGCTGATTCCTGTCCTGCTATGAGACTAGTTCCAGTTTTACTTAATACAATAATAAAACCTTGTGAGGCTCAGAGTGAAATGAGTCAAAGCGTTCAATCAAACAAACTTTATTTGCACACTTGGCCGTGTTCATGTATAAAATACATCAAGACACTTCCCAAATGATCCCTTCCCTTAATTCAAGAGTTTAATGAGGCCCATAAAAAATGAAGAGTGGTGTCACTTTACAAGCAGCAAAACAGGAAAAACAAAAACTGTAATATAGATCATAGACTGTATAAAAGGTGGAGGCAGTTTCAGTGTCTGAAAAGTGACGCCAGAAGCACAAAGTACCTCATAACTGCTTTCTTTCTAATGATCATCAGGGGGCGATTCGAGTGGTTGCAAAAAGACCTCGGGTCCTATAGAAGTCTATGTGGAAAAGACCCTCTCCCCTGACTTTTTAAACGCTTCCTGATGAGCTGATGGTTTCAAAACCCAAAAGAAGGTGACAGCGAATAAGCTCATTGAGGCTTTAGAACAAGACTTCACTAACCAGAGCGTGGCGTCATGGTAGCTCCAGCCATCTTCCATACTGTCTATGGTTTGGATGAGTAAGTATACACAAACTGGCGGGAATAAATCAGTAATAAATCAGAAGTTCAAAGCCCATGTCGTGCATGGTGAAAAGTTTCACAGACAGATAAGATACACCTACTGTAGAGGATCTCTGGAAGCACATCACTGGAGGCGTTTAAATACTTAATCGGAACTAAGGTGAAAAGTGTAGCTTCGATGCTCCTGGGTGAAAACTTTAAAGGTCTCTTTGTGTGTTTGAGAAATGAAACTTGTCTATGGCAGACGGAGCATCTTCCTAAAGTCTTGGCTTTTCAAAGGTGTGATGTTTCTAACTAACTGACAACAGATGGCAGTAAACGTGGCTAATTTGAGTTGGTTGTATCCTCTACAGACAGTAAGTACAGTATATGGCATTTAATTACATTAGGAGGAGGAGTAAAGGACAGAGAGAAATACTAAAGCACCGATTCCTATAATGGTTGGCTTCAGTCAGTGAGACAAACCCCACTGTGTGAAAAAGGATAAATATCCTAAGGGGTGGTTTGGAGGAACTTGAAAGCACAGGCTCAGGTAGAGGAAGTTTAGCCCTTACAGCCTGAAGCCCGTCGTAGCCTCCTCACAGCTCATCTCCAGTGTGACCTTGGTTGAAGGTGTCCCCTGTCAGCTTGTCCTGAGCCTCCTTCATACCGGATATAACTGAGTAGCAGAGAGGAAAGAAAGGCAGAAATAAATAAACATGAACTGCTGAAAGTTTGGAAGATATATCTGAAGTTTTGTTGTATTTGTACAGCAACAAGGCACAACCACAGTCGTCTTAAGGTGCTTTAAGATGAAGGTAAAGACCCTACAATATTCTAGAAAGATCCTTAATGATCCAGTAATGTATACCTAACTACATGGTGACAGGAGGGAAGAAGAACTCCTTTTTTAAAGGAAGAGATCATATTTCAGGTGATTTTACATCACATGATGGTTTAATCTTAAGTGGGCTGAACCAGTGCAACTCTCTTTCTGTCAGCGTGAAGAGGTCCAACTACGCATTTACTCCCTGAGATGTCTTAATATGAGAAAAACTAGCTGCTGATTAATTTCTTACGTATTACTCAGTTACTTTGGTAACCATGGGGGAGGTTTTTAATCAGCAGGACAAGCTGTGAAACTTACACAAATACAGTTAAACATAAAATGTATACCCTACTTCACATTTTCTAAAGCCACCTTGTTGGGTTCATATTGGAGTCTTTGCCAGGCTGATTCTGGCCCCTGGGCCTTATGTTTGACACCCCTGCAATACAGGATAGATCCATGCTTTCTTGTTGTTTATGCCAAATTGTGACCAGACCATGGCAGTGCTGTGTAATCGAGACTCATCTGACCAGGCAACGTTTTTCCAGTCTTCTGTTGTCAGATTTTGGTGAGTGCATGCAAACTGTAGCATCAGTTTCCTGTTCCTAAATAACAGGAGTTTCACCCGGGTTGGTCTTCAGTTTCTTAAATATATCCTGAGCAGTCTGGTACCAACGACCTGCCACCTTCGAAGTAAATGAAATCACCTTTTCACCTCATTCTGATGCTCAGTTGGAACTTCAGTAGGTTGTCCGTATGCTTAAATGTATTGGCTTACTGCTATGTGATTGGCTGATTAGAGATCTGTGTTAGCAAGCAGTTAAACAGGTGTACCTAAAAAAACGTGTTCAGTGTAGTCTGCAGTACAGTAAATCTCATCTCTCCTCTTCTGAAATTTGTTTTTTGTCCTGTTTTCTCTCTTTTCTACCCCTCAGCTCCAAACCAACCAGGGCGTCTTCTCCCTGAGCCTGCTCTTCCTTTTAAAGGGGAGTTCTTCCTCCCCACCACCAAGTGTTTGCTCATAGAGGACAGTTTGTAGGATCTTATAATATAAAGCAACCTTAAATTGGCTGTGAAGTGAATTTAATATCCCACCAACAGAGAAATGATCATCTGAACTGTTACCGTGTTCTGCATTGCTGTAAAAGTACTTGTAGTTGGGGTTCCCATTTTTGTTGTTGATTTCAGGATGGACATGGCCGAGCGGATCTGTGAAGGAAATAAAGAGGGGAGAAAAAGAAATAGTTGAAACAAATAAAACAAAAACTGTGTTTTTCATTTAATCTAAGATGTTCTTGACGAATAATTCCTCATATGATATTCTGATGTTTATTTATGAAGAGGTGGGTTTTATTAGAAAAGTCTGGGTGGTGGTGCGGTGTGGTGTAGGGCCGGGCCAGGTAGCTCAAAGAGCAGTGATATTGAGCAGCACAGCTGTTGTAGCCATACATCTGTTAATCAGCTTCTCCTTTGATGTAGCAGCATGCTGAGACCTGCCATGCTGGGCAGTTCCCAGCACAGCGCACAGCTTTTTCTTAGTATAACGTGAGTCTGTGCATGCAGGATAAACTAATAAAGACTGCTGGCTGTCTAAATCACCGGCTTTCAACATTTTGATGATCAAGGCACACTAAAAGGGAAAAAGACATTTTTTGCCATCCATACGTCGAAATTTCCCATCATTATGTCAAATTTTTGATGTAATTACTAAGAAAATAACTGAAAGTTCAAAACATAACTTGAAATTTGAGTTAAATTGACACTTTAAGTTGATAACTTGAAATTTATGGAGAGACATTTGCTTTAAAAGTGTTAAAAATGCATACCTTATGATCCACAAGCATAAAACTAAGATGTCCCAGTTTACACTGAGAAAGAACGCAACTTACGTCTGTGGATCTGTGCAAAGCTTTCAATGTGAAAAATCCCAGGTGGGCCTGGGACATGATCTGTGCGTATCAGGCAATTGTGCACACGCATTTAAGGCTTTATAGTAAAAATGGTAGATGGCCTGTATTTG